GCAAATGGTGCCTTGGAATTGTTTTGCAAATGGTATTGAACCTGTGAACTCCCCGATAGGGTGTTAAGGCCACACTTTGAGTACTGCTAAACTAGATTATGCAAAGAGGAAAAACCCAATTAGATTGCCCATGGCAGAAAGGCCAGAGCAGATATCAGTATGTCCTAACAGTTGTCTGACTTAGAATATTACATATTAATATAAAATGTTAAATTTCTCAACATTTATATACAGTTAGAAACTAGAACTTATTGGGAAAACCTAATTGGAACAAAGGTTTCTGTTATTTTTTCCGTCGCTGAATTATGGAAATGAGGAGTCTTAGTACTTTTTTAAAATATGTGTAAAATAGGAGTGGTGTTGGGTGCATTGTCTACACAGGAAGAGATTTGAGTTTCGAAGTGTGTGTTTTATTCTGTTGATCTAATTTTGAGATTCCAGTCATATCATTTATGCATTTCAGTTTAGCCTTAAGATCTTGTTAACTACTTTTGGTGCCCCTACGAACACATCAAGCAAACCATCTCTCACCAGACAGCCAAAGGTAACAGCCAGATGGGAGGCAGTGAGAATCAATATACTAAGAGTATTTTTAGGGACTATTGATGGATTGCTGTATTTTGAGCTTAACTTGAAGTGCCAAATGCCCCAGAGCTGACTAAGATGAACTCACCATTTACTAAGAACTGTACAGGCCATCACGCACGTCGAGGGCTCGAGGATCGCCAGGACAAGACAGACACTCCTTTCCCTTTGCAATTTTGGGGAGAACTCCTGTGAGTTTTTTAGTAGCCTCATGCAATATTTTGAGGAGGATCTTATACCCCTCTCCTTGCCAGAGCACAGGGTTACCCGGTTGCTGACCTCCCAGTCCTGGTGATGCGTAACTGGCATTTTAGGACAACGTTGTGCAGCAGCGAATCAGTTAATTCTCCGAATCAGGAGGGATCTGGTACACAGAGGCGCTAAGGACTCGGCGGCCCTCTCCGAAGGCAGCCCCACAGAAGGTGGGATCCACGTTAAGCTGTGCTGCTTCAGCAAGCTTGAAAGCTGTGGGTCTCTGACGTGGCTCTCAATTGCTAGCAGGTTTCTCTCATTGCACCTCATTTGCATCTGGGACATCAATTAGCATGTTTGTTGAGGCTAATTGAATGAAACTCAATCATAGCTCTTAATTGCTTGACTATGTGAAAAGAAATCACATTAATGCAGCTAATTAAGTGTACAGCAATAGATGCAACATAATTAGGAGCGAAATGTAAAAAACAAGGGATGGTAAAGGTGCCGGAGCAGGGGTGCGGGGGGACGTGATGCACAGTTACGGAGGTAGCGACACATTCGGGAACGGGTCCCTTTGCTCCGGTGCCTGCTTGGAAAAAATAATCTGCACGATGTGCATGGACAACTTGAGAAGAAAAATGCAAATAGGTTTGCAATTACTACTTTTTCAAGCTGTTGAGGGGCAAGAGATGGCACCTCTGGGGGGACTGGCTCTTGAGTGGGCCCCAGGGACTTGTTAAGTGCTGTTTAAAAGTACGTGGCTTTGAATTACCCTCAGGCCTTGTTAAAGGGTTTTTTCCCCTTTTATCTTCGATCAGCATTTTCTGCAAAGAACGCAGAGAAGGGTAGTATCTGTAATATTGGCATATCAAAATCAAGCTTGCTGTCCTTATCTCACCCAGCGAGGTCCCTACCTCAGACCCACCAGGCTGCACATCCCACTTCTGAGGAGGTGACATTGTTTGGCTATAGCTTTAATTCCTCAAGTACCAAGCTGGCGAGAGATGAAAAGGATGAGTTCTTTCAACAACAGAAAACTCAGTATTGTTTCCCTTGGGAAAAACCAGAAGCCCCAGACTCGTGTGTCTACATTCCACCTGTTTCTGAGCTACCGTGTCGAAGGGCTTTTATGGAATAGGAAACGCGTTTCGTAAAGTTTGTCAAAATTGTGGTGGCTTGAAATAGAAGAATTGCCAAATATTCATGGCCTTACTTTTTAGAACTAGCTCTTCTGAAGTTTCAGCACCCAACTCAGGCAGGAAAACAGATCCCCTGGCCCATGCTGAGCCAAAGATAAATGTGTTCCCTGGGCGCGTTCAAATCCAAAGCAGACAGTTGCTACATTTCTATAATAATTTTAAATAAAATATCCTGGTTATTGTATGTTGAAACATGCCTATTAAAAGAGCCCATGCTGAGGCTCAGTCACTATCTGATTAGCCTCATTTTAGAGCCCATAAGCAATAAATGCTCAATTACACTCCTGTTATTGTATTTTAATTTGTTAAGAATTGGCATTAAAGAAGAAAGTTATAGCAAGTTGATATTTTTAAAGGAGTAACTATGCAAGAAGGAATTCATTATTTACAAGCCTTAACTTTGGTTTTGAAACTTGGGGTTGCATCCTTTGGTTGAATATTAATGGAAGTGAATTAAAGATGCTTAAGAACAGCTTTTTTTTTTTTTTAAATGACCTTGACCGTTAGCCCTACACTAACCAAAGAACACTTCTCCTTTGATGTTCACCATCCTCATGATGAGCTTGGTCATGAGACTTCCTATATTTCTTCCAGTCGGCCTTATCCTTCAGTTTAATTTAGTGATGAGAACTTTCTTTCCATCTTTGGTCTACATCCTTTCAAAGCCACAGCTTTTCTCATAGTTATATTTTGGGGAGTTTTCCAAGCATCTTGACTTCCATGTGGAAACTTCAGTCTGTTCCCGGTCTGATACAGCCCTCCCCTTCCCCAGTCCCACAGCTCTCCTCCAAGATGGCCGACTCCAGCCAGCCTGCCCTGTGAACGCCAGGGCCTCCCTCCCTGAGCTGCCCTGGGGTATTAGATGCACAGCTCCCCCAGCCCAGAGTGGATCTGTGCCTCTGCTTCTGGCTTCCCTGACTGATAGCAGATGTGTGGGTGCAGGTATTTCTCTCTGGATGGTTTATCATCTGCTGAGGAAGGCCCAGCCTCTCCCCTCCTTCTGAAGAGCTGGTCTGAATTTGCCCCCACTGTGGTGCAGCTTCTGATCCTATCTCCATTTGTCTTCAGTCCCGTGTTCCTCCTTGTTCTAGCCTTGGCTGTTTGAGCTTTTGTTCTGCACCAGGAATGGCCATTTGAGGTCTGCCCTTAGGAAGTCGCCAGGGATCCTGAAGCATTGTTTCCTCCTGGGTGCTTGGTGAACCTTCTAGAGTTCTGTCATCTCCATCAGAACGTCTCCCCCAACGTGGCCAAGCCCTCACGTTATGGAGTTTGTCTTCCTGCCCTTCCTCCTCTGTTGAGAATTCATCCACCCTCTTTCCTGAGTCAGGATTGGCTCCCATGAAGCCCCACCTCTAATTGCTTGGGTTGTGGGGTGAGGTCTCTGCTCTTGACCCTCAAGGCTGGCCATCCCTCCCACAGATGGTGGAGAGAAGGCAGCTCCCTCGTGCTATCTGTCCCGAGGACCCACATTTGGGTTCCTTGCCCTATATTGGAATCTTGTACTTTGGGTTCCTTTTTGTATCATTCCTTCTATCAGCAAACTTCCTGCTCATAAATAAACCAATGACTGCTTCTCAACCCCTTCACCTGCTGGGATATGGACATTGTCCTGCAATTGAAAGATCCATAGCCTATTTCCTGGAAGCCACGGGGATCCTTCTCTTGGCTTCCATGCTACTCTCTAGGCCACCTGAAGCTTCCTCAATACACTTCGCCAACTTTCCTCGTTCCACAGGTGGGGGCCTCCATCCCTTGCACCTTGCTTCTGGAACTTTCTCTAGTTCTTTCGGCATCCATTGACTCTGTTGGTTGGCAGTTACAAGCAAACAGCTTACTCTTCCAACCTCCCTGCATCCCTTGCAGCCCACACCCTGGTTTGTTTGGCAGTTCAAAAATTACATTGACTTGAACTTAATTGCTTATACCAAATACAAATTTATTGGTTTTTCCCTTTGTATTCTAAAGAGTCCACCAAGATTGTGCCAAGAAGGAATCTATTTCATTTCCTGCTTAGTCTTAAAACACTTGAAAAGTTTTTTTACCCAAGAGCAATTTAGAATATATCCTTTCTTAATGTGCGATGTCGATTTAATAATATGTCTACAGAGATAAGGAGACTCATTGCCCAAAAAATGCACAAAAGGGTCGTAACTCCTAATTTTCCAGTAGGCCCCTCACCCTGGCTCTCTGTTGTCTTCTCCCCTTTCCCCACCCACCAGACAATTCTTAGGTATTGTTTTACTCCACACTGAGTTGCTGAGTGACTGCACCAAGAATTTCACTGTCTACCTAGGCTTCCCTATGGTTGCCTGATAACTGCTAGTCATTCACCTCCGAAGCATACAGAACAGCAAGATACTTTTTCTGAGTAAAGTGCACCACTTGGAGAAACATAACACTTGAGTACCAAATAATGTACTTCTTCTTTTTTTAACATCCAGCTATTATGCCTCCATCCATGATCTCCATGCTTTTTCAGCACCATACCACCGACCCCTCAGACATCTTCCTGGTCCTGAATAAGATGCTTGATCTTTTACTTAGTTTTTTCCTGAGTTCCCACCGAACAGCTTCAGTGTTGTCTAGATGTTTAATGGTATTGCCGTCTGAGACAGAAAGGTTTTACAAAATAGTTTCTACTCCATGGAATTTTACCTAAAACTTACAGGGACAGCCCAGGTTCCTAAGGTGCCATCTCATAAGCAGCAGTTCAAAAAATATGATTTCCTGTGCATACTTAGTTCTTCAGCTGGTTTATAACCCCCCTTGATGGAAGCATCTACTGTGTCTCCTTGTATTTCCAGGGCCTGGGTTAGTTCAGGACATAGAGGCAGAGCTCTGATTTCGGTATAATGATGATGTCACCAGTACCAGACAGATCAGAACCTCATTATTTTTAAAGCGCTTGCCACAGTGGAAGGGTCATAGGATTACAACTCCTGATGTCTAACAGAACCCCTTGTCCTAGATTGTAAAAGGCCTTCTTTTTAATCTCTCTTGGATGTTTAACGTTTTGAACAGGATTACATGCAGAATGTTCATGGTAAAGAGATTGATCTTCTGAGAACCACTGTGAAAGTACCAGGGAAGAGGCCACCCCGAGCCACGTCAGCCTGTGCGCCTATCTCCAGCCCTAAAACCAATGGCCTGTCCAAGGACATGAGCAGTTTACACATCTCACCAAATTCAGGTAAGCTTAGCGCTGACATGCTAAAGAAATCAGGTATGGCGGCAGCAGTAGATGGTGTTGGCTGGAGGATGGTGTTGAGCTCTTTCAGTTAAGTGGAGACCTTAACTGTTACATTGTAGCTTAAGGTTTAGAAGACTCATCTCTTCTGTGGATGATCGTTTCCTCTACACCAGTGGGTTCCATGACTGCTGACAGCAAATGGTGGTACTTTGAGTCACAGTACCACTAGGTTTTCCCAGGGCTGATCGTTGAAAATAGAGTTTTACATGTGGTTGAGGATTTAAAGGCCTTCTAAAAAACGTGAATTAATTGTTAAAGTAGCAAGGATTAGTATTAACTAATTTGTAGTGACTCTGTGTATAAAAGTAGAAAAGACATTTGGAGCAAGATTTAAAGGAAACAAGTGGCCTTAGATAAAATTTAAATTCTGTCGGTTTTATGTTGTAACTATTATGTTATTCTTTGACACAACTTTAGTTTTCTTTATTCACTTTTAAAGGAGAATTTGGTTTTCGTTCAGGATCAGAGGACGTTAGTGTTTTCTCAGAATTAGAGGTGTGGAAATTCCTGGCCTTGGTGTGCAATTGTGAGCCATTGAAAGTGTCATGGTTCATTTTTATTTAGAGTCTTGGCAAATGATGGTGTGCTGGCTTTAACCTTCCCATGATTGCTTATCAGAGAAAAAGTGTTAAGAACTACTTGAATCTTCCCAGTAACAAACTCAAACTCTTTCAACGTATGCAATCCCTTCACAAATTTTAATTGTTTTTTCCGACAAAAAGTTCCTTTCTTCTCTCCAACCTACATCTAATCTTCTCAAAAGAGATTTCTGTTCTACAGTCATTTCTAGTGTGTGTGTCTGCTTCTTAAAGGTGCTGCATTTTTCTCTGAAATGTTAAGTGCTTTTAAAAAGGGATCATGCTGACCCTGCAGTCCTGTGGCATAAATGACATTGGTTGGCGAAAGCAAGATAATAAAAAGGAAACAGAATTTGGGGTCCACCAGCCTGGGTTCTGCTATTGTTGTTGCATGGCATTGGGCAGGTAATTTAATGGTGCTTTGCCACCACATTAGGCTGATCTTGCCTGGACTACGTATGTCACAGAGATGTGATGGCAGGTGACATAACACGTATGAAAGTGCTGGGAAACTCATAAAGTACAATACAAACGTCAGCTGTTGTTACTAATCAAAATAAAACTGGGCTTTCTGCTAACAGACATCAGTTCATTCCAGAAAGGTGATAAGTTCATGTTGTGTGGCCTCTTACGACCTGCTGGCCTTCCTTCCAAGGCATACATGGTATTTTCCTTTTCAGGATGGTGTGCTAATGCTATGGGATGGGAAGAGAGAGAAGTGCCCAAGAAAAAAAAATTTCTATAGTAAATAAAAAGCTAATGTCTTCAATACTTTATTTACTCAAAGAATATTTATTGAGTACCTGTTCTTTGCCAGGAATCGTGCGTGCATGAATACAGAGTCTCTGACCTTCAGAACATAAGGCGGTCGCCTAATAACTGGCTAATTTTCCACTTTCCCGTCTAACCTGTCGTGTCACATCTATCCATTTATTTATTCAAGTCAGCACACACTTATGGAGTTTCTAATGTGTGCCAAACACAGTCCTGAGCTTTGGGGACACTGAAGAATAAGACATAATCCCCATCCTCAAGGATCTCACCCTTTGGGAGGTGGGAAGGACACAAGTAGACAAGTAAATGCAGTGCTGTGTGGCAGGCCATAGTGGGGGTACGTAAGAGGGCGTGAAGGCCTGGTGGTGATGTGGTCGGCTCTACCCCAGGAGGTGGGGCAAGGCTTCAGGACTTGGGGGTTGCCTGTGCCGGGCGTGAGGAAAGGATGGGAACTCACCAAGCACATAGGGTGAGGGAAGAGCCTGATGATTTGATGAAGTGCTGGATATGCAAGATTTGGAGTTTGAACTTCTTAACCTTAAGACTTGTGTTCTTTGGTGCTCAACTGCCACTTGTTGTCCTAAGGAAAATGTGATGTTTGATAACAGAACAGACAAAATGCCGTATAAACATTATCACATCCCATGGAGTGGGTTATGTCATGGTCCTCTGCTAAGGGAGTGAGTTTTCAGTGCTCAGCCTCGTTCTCCTTAAGACTCTTGCTATTGGGTGAAGGGGAGGGTTGTGGGCATGATTGAAATCTGTTTTCTGTAGTCACACCCTGAGTTTATTACAGCACATCCTTTCAACCCTAGACCAGGTTAATCCCCATCCAGGGAGCCTGGCCAATTTTCCCTCTTCTTTGGATTGCAAGTGGGGACATGGAAGTGGGGATATGACATCCTTGGGAGCACAGTACCAATTGAGGGGAAGAAAGTGCTTCCTGGTCACGGCAGTGCTCAGGGATGTGATACCCTCATCTCAGCAGGCAAGTGACATCATCGGCCAGTATCCAGGAAGAGTGACCCTCCATTCGGTCATTCATAGAGTGCGCACGTGAAGAATTCCAACACAGCAAATTTAATTTGAAGCAAATTGATGCTACTTTTAATTGATGGGCTTTTAGCTAAAAATAGGTATTAGTTATTTTAGAGCTTTTTGCCAAAGAACTTAACATGCTAGTTAACCTTATCCTTCATTCTCGACACGTTTGAATTCTGCTGTTTTGTTTTAGAGCTCTGGATTAACTGAAGATGTTTTTATGCTTCCTTTTCTTTTTGATTTTTCTTCTTATCTCAATGTTATTGGATTAGATCAATGTTTTGTGCCTTCCCTTCTAGTAACTTTTCCATTCACATAGACCCGATACATGCATATACCGAAATCTTTGTGCATGACACATATTATTGTCTTAAAATAAATGTCCGTAAGTGAAGTGGCTCAGTCAGTGGGTATAAGTGTTTATAAGATTCTTGATACAAATTTCCAGGTTAATTTCTAGAAAAGTTTTGTATAAAATACCCATCCATTCATAAAGTGAGTGCCCATTTCACCCTCTCACACTTGCTAGCATTGCTATTAATTATCATTTTTAGAATCTAGGCTAATCTGATCAGCAATAAAAATATCTCGTGCTTTATTAGGATTTCTTCAATTAATAGTGAGGTTGAACATCTCATGTTTACTGATCATACATATTTCTTATGTTGTAATTGTTTAGATGTATCCTTTCCCATTTTTTGCACTAGATGCTTGTCTTTTTCTTATTGGTATGTAAGAACTCTTTATATATTAAGGATATTAAGACTTTATGATATATTTTGCAGATATCTCCCCAGTTTATTATTTGCTTTTTAAATTCTATGGTCTTATTTACATATAGAGGTTTCCCCTCTTTTATATAGTCAAATCATAAGTATTATACTTTTGTGGTTTCTACTTTAGATATTTAGAAAGCGTTTAATAATCCTGAAATCAGATCCCAATTCATGTATATGTATTTCTGAGTTTTACAGTTTTATTATTGTTTCTTTTTTTAATATATAATGCCTAATCCACTTTTAATTTGTTTGGGTTTATTATATGCAATAGGAAATCTAATTAAACTTTTTATTCAAATAGATAACTAATTGTTCTTTCTCTCTTTGTTGAATTGTTTCCTTTCCCTATTGATTCTGTTTGTCACCTTTATTGTACAACTAACTCATTTAATCAAATAAGCTTTGTTTCTGGGCCCGAGAATCTATTCCATTGACCTATCTTCACTTTTGTCTTGTTGTATGTGGATTTACTACATTGTCTTAGATTTGTGACTCAATTTATATTTGGGGGCCGGCCCCGTGGCTTAGCGGTTAAGTGCGCGTGCTCCACTACTGGCGGCCCAGGTTCGGATCCGGGCGCGCACCGATGCACCGCTTCTCCGGCCATGCTGAGGCCGCGTCCCACGTACAGCAACTAGAAGGATGTGCAACTATGACATACAACTATCTACTGGGGCTTTGGGGGAAAAAAAGGAGGAGGATTGGCAATAGATGTTAGCTCAGAGCCGGTCTTCCTCAGCAAAAAGAGGAGGATTGGCATGGATGTTAGCTCAGGGCTGATCTTCCTCACAAAAAAAAAAAAAACAGAAAAGAAAAAAATGATTAAAAAAAATTTATGTTTGGTAGTATAACACAGTTTAATACTCTTTTATTTTATAGTTTTTTTTTGGCTATTGCCACCCATTTATTTTTTTCCAATAAACTTCAAAGTAACTTGAAACCTTCTCTTTTCCCCTAAAAGTAATCCCATTGTGACTCTAATTGGCATTGCTTTTATCCTATCAATTAATTGTGGAGGAACTGACATCTTTACTATATTGAGTTTCTTATCACAGAACACAATTCTTTCCCAATTTATTCAAACTTATTATATATCCCTCAGTAAAGTTTAACACTTTTCTTCATTTAGATCCTGTATGTGTCTTCTTAATCCATTCTGTTAGTTTATATTTTTTGGTGAAATGTGAGGCTAATCTTTTCTTTTTGTTTGTTTTTGTTTTTGTGGGGGGAGTGTTGTCTACTACGTCATCTATTGGTAAGAAATAACACAGCTCCTAATTTTTGCTTTTTTTATATCTAGCCATCTTACTGAATTCTTATTAGTTGGAATACCTATATGGATGTTTCTCTTGATTTTCTAATACGGTCATAAGGCATTCCATATTTCAAATATTTTAATGCCTAACTGTATGTCAATGTTGACTTTTAGTTTTTACCAACCAATGTAATGATTCGGATACCTCATTGCTTTGCCTCCTGTACCATTCACTTACTGTCATTATTGAGTCTGCTGTATGCCCAGTCCTGATGAGCGCTCTGGAGCTTTGGGGGCCGTACAAGACTCTCCTTCCAGGAGCCTTATGCTCCAGTGGGGGTGGAGGAGTCAGAAGAAAAACAAACACAAATAAGACCATTGAAGCTGGTGATCAATACGAAAAAGACAAAGGGGGCAAGTGGATAGAAAATTACTGGTGGGAGGGGGGCTTATGTTATTCCTAGTATTGGGGAGTGGTTCTCCAGTATTGGAATGCTGATTACATTTCACACA